GATCCTAGGAAAAATTTCTAATCAAAGATGAATTTAAATACCTTCCATTTGTGTTTTCAGAAGAAAAATGCAAAACAGTTTTTTTTTTATAAATGTAACAAAGGCAAGCTTTTTAAAAATTATTATTATTATTATAGCTCAGATGAAATGTTTCAGGTGGGAAGAATAAGGATCTTTTTGTCCTAAACTCTGTCCTCTTAAGAGTCCAAGGGTTCCTATGCATCAGGTACCTTACTGACACAGGGTTTTAAAGACCAGTTGAAGCCACCCCTTGAGAAGAAATCGATTTTAATAAAAACTGAATTAAATTGAAGACATTTAAACGTATGCACCAAGCAAGACTTATTTTTTTCCAGGAGGATATATCAGTGAAATTTGAACTGAATTATTTGAACTGAGCCTCTTTTGCATCCAAATGAATAATTATTACCTAGTCGTTATCTAGTTAGGAACGTCAAACATTTGTTATTCAAAGAAATTCAATTGAACAAGGGAATAATATTTACCATTTATGCATGCATCTATCTGTTTAATGCATGTTTTTGTCCCATTTTAGATGAAGAAACAGCAAAAATTTGGCATATGAATTTCAGTCATGTTTGACTTCCTGAGGGAGAACAATTCATGTTTGGGGGGAAATTAACTGTTAATTAGAACATTATTCTAAAGATAGTAATCATTTGTCAGTACTCATGCCAATGTCTAAGAACATCAAAATACACCGGTGAGCAGGTATGCCTCACAAAGTCTCAACATACTTGCCGCACAATACCTGCTTATTATTTCCAGAAGGGTCAACCAAAGGCTGCCCTTAGAAGAACAAGTAATAATCAAAGCTGAACTCTACCTGTACCCAAAGTTTGGGACATCCCTGAAGTTTTCTCAGCCTCAGTTTACCTACCTTCAAGATGGGAACACCAGCTCTACTTCACAAGGCTGGTGATGGTCCGACGTGCTTCCTGCTGTTGTTGTTATGCCATCTTAACCACAGACTTTAGCCTGCTTGCCCTTCTCACATTGCCGGGCACTTGCTTGACAGATGGTAAAAGTTAAAGGCAACATCCCTGACTATGGCGTCAGGTAAAGCTGACTGTCCCATGCATTTGGCCTCTTTAGCATTATGTTCTAAGTCACCACACCAACACATTTTACATTGCTACAGACTGTCTATTATAGTCTCATTGTAAATCCACAAATCACTTTAAGAATGTTTAGTTCTGAAAAGTACATGTATAAAATTGGAAAGTTAGATAGCATACCTCCATTGGCACATTACTCAGCTTCAACAGTTATTACAGTTTTGCCGTATCTGCCTTAATTATCTATCCCTCCTCTCTCTTTTGGCTGAATTGTTTCAAACATAACACCAACCTTCATTTACTTTCAGCCCTATAGATTTCAGTTTGCTTCTTTAAAAAATATGGATACTTTCTCCGAAAGCTGTCATGTTTTCATCATACGTAATCAAATAAAACACATTAAACCATCCTAAAATCCAGCATATATTAATCTTTTTGCGGTTGTCTTAAAAACCTGTTTTTATAGTTGGACTCTTTAACTCACTACTCAAACAAGATCCACACATCACATTTGTTTATTATATCTAAAACCTTTTTACTGAGAAGATAAAGTAGATAAAATTTTTCATTGTCCTTTGTCCTATGCTATACATTATGATTAGTTTGAAATAACTGCCTCAAATATAAACATCCATTATCAGGATAAAATTATCCTAAATTGTAAATTCCATTTCTTTCATAACTGAAGGTATTGTTATAAGCTTAGGGAAAATAGTGTTAACATCAATTTATTTAGGCAGATGAACCCAAAGGAGCATTGTGTTTGCCTGTATTTTCTCCAGTGATATCACTGTTTTTGGAATCAGCAATGTAAGATAATTGCTATTAGACAGCTAGACACACCATTAGAGATTGAGAGATGAAATTAAAACCATGAAATTGTTTCTAGGGGTCTCTAGAAATGTAATTATCTCTCCTGTGGAAAAGAAACACAGAAAATTGTAGTTCTGTTTTCTGTTTGCCTACTGAGAAGACACTTAAATTATATCTATTGAATACATATATTCAGAGGTTTATTTCATGTAGCTGTTTAAATTTTATGTTATTTAGAAAAACTGCCTGGCATTTAAAAAGGCTAGTCAACTTTGCTTTGTAACCTATTATCTCAGTAACAAGTATTTCCGTGGAAATTGGCATGAACTGTCATGCTACTCATGAACATTATTCCATTAACTCTAACATAATCAGTTTATGGAAATGTTTAGACACAGCACCTATGCTTTGCTTAATAATGCATGCCTCCATGATGGCCCTAAATCACTGTATCAGGAGTTCCATGAATCTCTTCAGCCTGGTGGAAATGCACCCCACCAAGAGACACTATATGTCATGAAAACCAATGGGGGCCAGACAATGGACACAGGTTCTTTTGTTCTCAAAACAGGGCAGGAATGAATGCTGGTGGATCCACAATGAGAGTAATCAAGAAAATGACATCTGAATTCTTTTTTAGACAGAGACTATTTGAGTCCCAGATCCTTTCTACCAATCTAGAGTTTACGTACCGTTTGCCACTTAGCCTTTGATCGTTCAGCTTCAAATTTAGCAACTTCTTTACGATCATGAAATGATACCAGCAGCTTCCAAATGCACAGTAGGACAACTCCAATGAGAAGAATGGCCAGTGACACTCCCAACATAATCATGGGAATGTTTGGGGGTTTGGGGCAGTCTGTGGAGACGGATGAAATAATTTTTTAGAAGCTTCTACAATTAGTATCTCATTGCCTTTTTCCTGCAGTGCAGGGGATTGAACCCAGAGCCTTGAATATACTGGACAAATCTTCCAGAAAGCTACATCCCCATCCTGTGGGTTTTCTATTTGCACATTTTTTTACAGAAAGGGGGAACTCTTGATACCTTTTGGTCTTCCTGAAAAAATTAAAAATTAGTTACTTGCTAAAAGATAGGCTTGCATTTATTCAAAGTGGAAGAAAATATGAAGAGTTTAATCATTCTAAACAAATGAATATATAATCAGCCTTCCATATTCTTAGGTTTAGCATGCTCAGATTCAACCAAATATGGGTTGAAAATATCAGGAATATATGTGTCTGTATTGTGCATGCAGTCTTCCCATTGCCCTTATCCTCCTATTAAGTAACAAGCATAATAAATATTTAGGTAGCCTTTATATTGTATTAAGTTTTAAAACCATTTTTAAAAAATTAATATTTCATATATCCCAGACTGACTTCAAACTCCCAGTGTAGTCAAGGATGATCTTGACCCCCTGAACCTCCTGCTTCTGAACCTCCCAAGTGCTAGGATTACATGCATGTGCTACTATATCTGGTTACATGCAGTGTGGCGACTGAACCCAGGGCTTCAGATATGCTAGGTAAGCACTCTACACACTGAACTACATCTCAACCCCTGCATTACATTGTATAAGTAACTCAGATGTGATTAAAAGTATATGTGAAGATGTGTGTAGATTTTATGCAAATATAAGGACCTTCAGTCAGAATCCACAGGTTTTGGTATCTTTAGGGCACTGGGGTCTGAAACCAATCTCCTGCAGAAATGGAAAAATGTCCATAAATCTGATGGTTGATTTAAAAACTGTTAGAATCCAACAGAGTCACAATTAATGTATATGAAACATGTAAAAGCCTGTGAAAAGACTATAGTTTAATTTCTAGAGGAATTTCTTCTGAGTACATGACAACAACTTTGGTATGTGTAACTACTTTTCAAGGACCTTCTTGGATCATGAACAGTCTAAGGATTACATTAAAAATTATTAGCTGAATGTAATAGCTCATGCCAGTAATCCCAGTGCTCAGCAGGCAGATAGATGTAGAAGCTTGAAAGGCAAGCCTAGGCTATATAGCAAGCTGAAGGCCAACTTGAGCTACAATAAAATCCAAGGGCTAGGAGTACAGAGCACTTGCCTAGCATACATAAAGGCTTAGGTTCTATCTATAGATGTATACATAAATACATTTTGCAATACACACACACTATATCCCTTGAAAAGATTGCTGGTCCTTTCTCCCCCTTTTAAAGACAGAAGACAATCATGGCTTTGTATTTTATGTAGTGCTCTGATTTTCTGGATGTTTCTAGATTAGAAGAGGGATGATTGGGTTTAACTCCTGTCTCATATACAGTAGTTGTATGGATTCCATCAACTTCTTCAACCTCATCTGTAAAACAAACCTCAGTGTTCTTTGACTTTCTGTTTGACAACAGTAAGCTGAGGTGGTCTTGCTTAGCAAACCCACAGCCTCCTAGACCTCTCCCCAAGATTCTGGTTCAGTGGGTCTTTAATGATGCTACAATTCTATATTATTAAAGGTATTAAAGTCATTCTTATCTTCAAAGAAGTTTAGGGAATTAGATACTCTCAAATGAAATGTTATTTTGATGCTATTGATGGTATTAATGTAATCTTGCAGTTATACAGCACCTTCCTCAATCGACAGGATGATGACTAATCATCCCTGCAATGCACCTGCAAGCTGATCCATCTCTTAATGAAGCATTGTAATTAAGCACTCTTTTTGCTTCCATGGAAAAAAAATTCACATGAAAATGGTCACTAAATATCTGCATCCCTCTGCAAGAAGTGAGGCAAACCTCCATAGAATCTGGGAGACAAATGAGCCATGCTTAGTCTATCCTAGCTAATATTGTTCTTGGTTAATAAGGGAGAGCTGTATACATAGGACTGATTGTGCTGCTTTTCAGATGTGAATCTGAGGGGGATTAATGACCCCCTAACAGCATGATGCCTGGTCGCACACATGCTCACTCTTCAGTGGAAAACCATACAAAGACATTTTGAAGAAATAAGCAGAGTTGCTAATGACCTAGTCACTAGAGTGCAAAGCTCTGTAAGCAAGCGAAGCCTGGCTGTGTCTTTGAGAAAACAGACTGTCTTGGCCAAGAAAATTCCGAGCCCAGTATAGCAGGACAATGCTTACTAAGACCTGCATCCAGAAAGTGAATCAGGAGGATACTCAAGTAATTAAATGAGGAAAGGTGTGGCTTGGTAGACACAATCATTTTAAGAACGTAAAGTAACTGGATATTGTGTATTTCTCAAGAAAAGATTTCAGCTCAAGTTGCAGAGCAGCTATCCTGACATAGACCTTTGCTTTTAGTATTTCTGTGACATTTCTTAGATATGTAGACTGAAGATGGCTATCTAGGTGAGAGAAGAGGGTCACCTGTACCCCTGTGTGTAATGCTGCCTATCAAGTTGGGTCACTACTGTACCCAATTCTAAGGTTCTGAATATCTAATGCTTAACTCTGTCCAATCTGGTAGCTCTATCATATGTGGCTACTGAACACTTGAAATGTGACTTCTAACTTAGGTTGTACTGTAAGTGTTAAATGTACACTCATCTCACATACTTGGCATGAAAAATGTAAAATATTTTCTTAGTTTTTAATATTGACTTCATGTCAAAATGGGAATATTTTGGATATATGGTAAATAAAACTATTTTCACCTATCCTTTTTCAACTTTTTAACATGGTTACTAGAAAACATTCAATTGTAACATAGCTCAAATAACAGTCCTATTGGACAATGCCAATGCGGTATCTTTTAGAGTCAGATGTTTATTACAGTTGTATAGCCAGTGGGAGGCAGTGTAATATAGTAAAGAGAATGGGACTCAAGCCAGGCTGTTGGAACTCCTCAGTTCTGTGCTTAATTACTACAAGACCTAGCAAACTATATATGTTTCTATGCCTCAATTTCATCTGTAAAATAAAAATAATAGTAAGCACCTGCTTTATAGGGTTGTTGAAAACACTGAGTGAATTAACATGTGTGAAGCATGAGGAGTTGGACCCAGCCCACACTCAGTCAGGGCTCCATACATGCAGCTGCTGTGACAACAGGTGCACTCCTCCTCGTTCTCTCCTCCAGAGTCCAGGGCCTGGAGGCCAAGCCGAACCTGCAGAGATGACACCTGCAGTGATTGGCTTCTTCCAGCAAGGAAGGCTCCTTAACTGCCATTTATGAGCTTCGACATGGCTTCCAGGCTCCGACATTCCATCCAATGTAAGAAGGAAGATGGGTGGAGCTCTGCAGGCATCCATGAGCAACTGGTGAGCTCACTTGACCCACTCCTTTTTTGATTTGCTTAGAGAACTCCATGAATCATTAACCTCCCTCCCCCTCTTGTTTCTCAGTTTACCTTCTTTTCCCACTTCTTTTTCTTTTTAAAGAATATTGGTATTCTTTGAGAAAGTCATACAATGCATTTTCATTATATTCAGACCCCCTCTCTCACCTTCTCCTCCCCCACTGCCCACCTCCCAACTTCACGTCTCTGTCACTATCATTTTCTTCTAAAGGCCCATAGAAGACTCATAATCTCAAAGGAATGATATGAATTCAAAACTGATCAGATTTAAAAGAAATATATTGATAACAGAATTTTAAAAAACTCCTTTGCAGAGCATTGGGATATTTCTAAGAAGAAATAGTTGTCAGGTTTTAGAGTAACCAGCTCAGTTTTTTGATGCATCTGCATGCCTCTCTATTTGTTATTATATGAGAATAGAGTTTCAGTAGCGGTCCTTTCATTAACAAAGCGTGAGTCATAGGTCTCAGTGCTACAGAAGAACTACTGACTTCTAAGGCTGGACTCTGCTCTTGGGGCTTCCTTCCTATTCAGGAGCTGGGCATTTGAGGTGTCCTTGGACCTGTCAGGAGATCCAGTGAAGTCTCAGTGATGTTATTTCTCTTTCCCTACAAAAGCATAGGGATAAATAGCATCCTGTAATAAAAAGGCATCAGGACATCGTGTGTACTCTGAAAGATAGCATGTCGATGTGTCACTCATGTTGTGTATACGAATAAAAGAAGAGATGACGGTTCAGTAATGAAAAGGCATTTATCAGCTGAAGGCATGTTTTACGGGAAAAAAATCAAAACAGCAAAGTACAAAAGCCTCCACATTAACAGGGCCTGCTGTGGAAACTTGTTTTGTTGTTTGGGATGTGTTTTTCCAATGGAATCAATATTTTAAGGGATGGCTTTGATTGCAAGATAACATGCTAACGTTACTACCGCAGTCACAAATACAGTGCTGGGGGTGCAGGGGAGAATCTGACTTTATAAACAGACAACGAGGAGGCAGGTTTTTTTTTTGTATTATGAAATAATTTGGTTTTGAACAACATGACTCAACCCTGTTTCCTTAACTGATGACCGCAAGATGCATTGTGTGTGAGAAATGGATTTACATGAGAGTTTCTACGAACATGCCTCCAGGGGCACCCAGCCTCCTGAGCCACTTTCTCTGCCGTCCTCACCTTTCTCAGACTGTGCCGACCTCTAGCTCTGCCTCAGCAAGGCAATGTGATATTTTTCTGATCCTCTTCTTGATTGGGACTTGAGGTTTTGAACCTACTTGGAGGTTATGTTGGTATTGTTTGGGGTTTTACCCTCTGAGGTGATGCCAATTTGACAGCTTTGGTTTCACATTCAGGGCTTCAAATCCTATCAGTTCATTAAAAAGCAAACACATACAATATAATTCATCTGTCTTGGCCTGTGCATGCTGCAGTTGTTTGGGTTGGAACTTAGGATCTAAACTTTTGTGGGAAGAAGTTGTGGACACAGTCTGATGAGGTCTGATTTAATGCAGCTGTCATTTCTTCAGGAAAGTTTAAGGAGGGGCACATCATTAGCTGAAGACAGAAAATGTGAGGTAGACCTGCGGGTGTCTGAGACTGCAACCAGGGTTGTTAGGACAGTCACTCAAAAAGAAAGGCTGGAACCATCAATGCTAAGTTGGGTTGTCAGAATTCAGACTTGAGCACACACAGGCCTGGTGACTCAGGATACAAGCATTTTAGATAAGCTTCCAGATGAGTCTGAGACCCATGGAATTTGAAAGCATCTTAATGATATATTCTTTGCTTCTTCTGCATAATATAAACTTGCCTTTTTTCTTTGCTGCTGCTGAAATATTTATATAGAGTTTTCCTTATGTTAGAAACTGATTTCATGTGTTGATGTGAATGAAAATCCACAGAAGCAATGGACACTGTTGTCCTTTTAAAATCTATTTTATTTTTAATAAAACAGAGTACCTAGCTGCCCTGGTTTGATACCACCCACTACGTACTCCAGGCTGGCATCAAACTCAAGGCAATCCTTCTGCCTTAGCCTCCTGCACATTGGGATTATAAGTGCACGTTGTGTGTGATGGCATTTTGACATCTTTTATTGATCACACCCTTCGTCACTTGCTGTTTAAGGCTTCCTGATCTAACATTATCATTTAATGAGCCATTGTTGTGAGAGTGTTTTGGCAAAAATTTATAATCCCTATTCCATTTACTCTGTGGGGGTTATCTCTTAGAAGATGGTGCTGTTACTTTTTCTCATTTTACAGATGAGGAAATAGAGACCCAGAGAGACAAGTATTGCACAATATAGAGCAAATGTTGCACAATGAAATCTTGTTTAAACCATGGTCTCAACTCATCTTTAAAAACTGACTTAAACTCATTTTTAAACTTCACACTTCTTCCAGATGTACCTGTTGCTTATATTTTCTTTTCTCAGTTCACCTTTCTACAATTCAGCAGCTGCTACTTGTCAGTCTACTACAAATGAAAGTCATCATGTTACCTAATAACAGGCATGGCAACACAGCAAACCTTTTAATGAATATCTTTCAACCTTTGGGAAAACAGAGGCACTTCACCCAAAACTTGGAAATGTCTTTCCTGATAATGGCTTTCCTTGTGATTTTCTGGATCATTCTGCCTTATAGTCTCATTTGCCATTGACAATGGAACACAAACCACCCACCTTTTTCATTGATGTTGTGAATGATAGTTTTCCCTTCATTATCTGTGGTTATTAGGAATGTAATAAGACATTCGTTTTCTCCTTGTAGAGAGCAGGAAACAGAACTATCCTTTGATAAATCTGTAGACAGAAAGAGTCATTCATTAGGTTAAATGAGATTTCAAAAGAGATTATTTTTAAAGCAAAGTAATATTGTGTTTTAACATGCAAATTATAATTTTCAATACTACAGAATGGGAATAGAAAATGCATAGGATTTTTCCCACCAAGTGAGATCCTTGGTTCAACTTACATTCCAGGCAAACAGCTCCAGATGTAGTCAATCAGGACTGACCATCAAATGTCCCTATCAAACTGATGTAGGCAGATTTCAATAGAGTGAAAGTACCGCAAGGCAGGTGCCCGCAGCTTCCTGGGGAATAGAATGGCCTGATTATGGTAATGAGTGGGCTGTGTGACTGTGTGTTCCTGTCTGCCGAGAGCATCTGGGAGGAAGGCTAGATTACACTGCTGCACGGTGCAGATGGATGCTGATGCTATTAGAGGAGGCTTTGCACAATGGCATAGTCAAGACTTTTGGTCTTGTAGCAGAATGAAAATAAATTAATGTCAAGAAACCGAGACAGAGGTGTTATGCAGATCAGAGACCCCCAGGATAAAGGTAAATGTCAGATTAAAAAGCAACCCAGAATAACAGTCACTCGCCTGTCATGCAGCATAGCTTCTTTCTTTTTCTCAAGTCTTTTCAAAATTGAAATTTTTGAAGCTTATTCAAGAGTTAGGAAATTAAGGTCATGAATAATAAGTTACAATAAAGTAAAAGGCCACCCTTGACTCACACATCAGAACTTCTAGTAGCCCAACTCCACTAACAAAATTATTGAGAACTTTCTGAATTAAAATAGAGCAAAGCAAAAAAAAAAAAATTGTTATAGAATTCTCCCTCTAAGTTGGAGATTTTTGAAAATACTATTACCGTTTTTCAGGAACCTGTAACTAATCTAAACTCGCAAGACCTATGGTCCAATATTAGTGAGTACCTCAGATTATTAAAACCAAAAATGCCCCAGGAAATCCTGATTCTTCTCTTCTTAGGCTGCAGTTTCTCTCACTAGCCTAAGAATTTTATTTAAAAGGTGTTAATGAAATAGAATATGTGGTGTGTGTGATTCTTACATAGAAAATTAAATAATAGCCTGTTTGGGGCACAAAAATATTAGCTATAGGAGCTGGAGAGATGGCTCAGTAGTTAAGAGCACTGACTTCTCTTGCAAAGGACCTGGATTCAGTTCCCAGCACCCATATGACAGCTAAGAACTGTCCATAACTCCAGTTCCAGGGATCTGACACCATCTTCTGACCTCCACAGGCCCTGCATGACTCGGTGCCCTTACAATACATGCAGGCAATACACTCATACACATAAAAAATAAAAATGATAAATAAAATATTTTTTAAAAGAATATTAAGGAGTCTAATACAAATCAACCTGGTTTGGTCATTCCCATATATTTATGACCATGTAACTCACCTGGAGCTTTGCAAATACCAATGCTGGGGGTCCCATAGTGGCTGTTCTGACGGGAGGGACTGTGCACAGGTTTGGGCTTTAGAACATGATTTAATAAGAGTTCTAATGAGAAGCCTCTGATAAAGAGCCTTAGGAAGGCTTGGGCAACTCTGGATGAGTGAAATTCATGTTATTTCATGTGTTTGATCATAAGGGGTACCCATATTGAATTCATACTTTGGTCATTTTAGGATGACCTTCACCACACTGTTGCCTGTTGCCTGTTGCCTACATTCCACTCCAAAAGCTAGGATTCATGAAGTCTTAGGGCTTGTGCTTTTATGTTTTGGAGCATCCTCCTCCTTCAGTTTCTGCCACAGCAGTGCAGGCCCACACAGCTCTCTTGAGTACACTTAATGGAACATCGGGCTCTCAGGTAGAAAGTATGTGGATGCCTTATTATCCTTGTTTCAGTAATATTAATCCTGCTTCTTTATTTTCTTTTAAATAGCTGCACTGAAGCACAGGGAGTCTTACTTTCCTTGGCCAGGATTATTTAAGTTTTAATGGAACAGCGAAAGTGACCTTTGAGTCACAACTCCCATCCTGTACTTTAATTACTTTACCATTCCTTTTCTTGATTCTCTTTCTAGATGTGGCCCGTTTCTGTAGTGTTTGGGTGTTGAAATAGTATTATCGAATATGCAATGAAAGATTTACATAATTAGCTGCTAAGGTTGTCTTTTGTTGTTCATAAAAAATGGCCTTTTCTTTTTTACCCTCCTTTGTGAGGGCTGCACTACTGCCCTGAATAATACAGTGAAAATAAGATCTCAGAGGCCCAGGAAATCATACTTAGCGAGGAGTGGAAGAAAATATGAGAGCAGAGTGGGGATGGGGGTGGGGGAGCCAAAGGGCATGGTGGGAAGGGGATGTGAAGAGACAGGTCTGGGAAGGTCCAGGAAGGATATAATGTCTATCCCATTGACTTAAACCAGCCATGTGTCTTAAGATCTCATCTCTGGGGCTGGAGAGATGGCTCAGTGGTTAAGAGCACTAGTTGCTTTTGCAGAGGACCTGGGTTCGAGTCCCAGCACCCACATGGTGGCTAACAACCATCTGTAACTCCAGTTCCAGGGGATCTAACACCATCTTAGCTAATCTTCTTGGGAATTGTATGGCATGGGTGCACTTACATACATGCAGGCCATATACTCATATACATAAAATAAAAATAATAAGTAAAATATTTTTAAAATGATCTCAGCTCTGGGACCAGGTAGCAGTTCTCAAAATAATTTCCCAAAGATGATCGGGGGAAGCAGTGTTTCTATGGTGAAATGAATTTGGGGATCTCTTTTACTTAATTCTTCTCCTGCTCCTCCTGGTGACTCATATGCACGTTTAATTTCATGTGCATAACAACTCTTCTGAAATCTTACAAAGAAAAATTTCTTAGTTTCCCACTTCCAAAGTGACTGTGCGTGCTTGTTTGCATTGAATGTCTTTAGAGCTAGTGTTCTGGGAACACACTTTGAGTAGCAATGCTCTGAACGTGGAGTAAATTAAAAAGCAAGACTCTTTCAGTAAAACGGAACGAATAATCTTAGATGTGCTCTCCCAAGTCACCCACAGCACAATGGAGGATGAATCCACGTGAATTATGAAGTATGCTTATTTCACTCCCTGGGTCCTCAGTCGCGGAAAGGTAAGAGTTAAACCCCATGGAAGAGCAGATGTGATGTAATCATTTCAGAGTGTTGTGACACCAATATTAGCAGGTGAGAAACTCAAAACAGAACTTAAAAGAAGGCTATTAGAAAAGTGACTTTTTAACTCGTTGTCAGACAAATACCTTTTCCTTTAAGTTTGTCCAGATTAGTGCTTTAGAGAATATTAATAATCTGTTTGTTTCTTTCATTCTCCAACTTGGAAACAATTGTATCCTCTTTGGAAGATAATTTAGTGAAATACAAAAGAATGACATAAATATTCTAAATGCCACTTAAGCTAGTCTTCCTCTCAAATCCAAGCATTTATGGCAATCTCCTCTGAAAACCCTGAACTTAGATACAGTGACTACCCTGTTTACTCCTCCATGAGTGACACAGGCCTGCTGTATCTCCATCCACACATTAGATTTCCCATGTTGCTGGTGAATCAAATTCTGGCCATTTGCAGGCATTTTCTGCAATTTTTGCTCATTTCCCAGAGATAGCTGGTAAATATCCCCACTGTCTGCTGGGAAATGAGCCTCGAGGACACAGCGAGACATGGTAGTAGTTACTAACATGGATGCTCCACAGACGCTGCTTTAATGTGTCACCTTTGGTGCCAGGCAAAAGCACATACCATCTTGTCCCATTTACTGCTATTTTCCATGTTTATCTATGGTCATCAGAAAAGCACAGATGAGGAGTTTTACGAACACTAATCGTGTTCCTTCATACCCAGTAAATCAACTGTAGCATCAGAACAATTTTAAAACAAAGTAATTTTCAAAACAGTATAAACATCTTTATGTTACTCTATATTGGAGATAGACATTAGTTTCCATATTCTAATTCTATCTGTTCAAAATATATATCCCACAGGGCTGTACATTATCATCTGATTATTTCCCTTCACCTGAGCTACACCTCCCTTACATCTCAAATGCACAGAGTGGCAGTTCTGCTAATAATATGCTAATGCAGTTTGTGATGATGCAAACCCAGATTCTTCTGCACTGTCCTTTCATAAAGCATTTAAACTCTCCTTTGCTTTAGAGTTCATAAGTTACTTTTTAAATGGCCTTCCCAACTCAGCTAAAATGCAATTGATTTAAATATGTGGAATGAAATTTTGCCATTAGAAAGATTTTCATTTTAAGTAATTAAATTTAAAATGACAAGTGAAAGCAGGAGCTCAGTTTGCTTACAAGTTAGAACAGGAACTCTTGAATTTGGGAGGTGAGGCAAGAGGAAATTAAGGACAGTGATGTAATGCTGATGGCTGGGAGCTGGAAATAAAAGCCCTTGGAGGGAAGGTGGAAGGGGTCAAAAAATGGCTACTGATCACACTCCAAAGATCCAGAAGTTGCAGCCAGGCAAACTGTTACTGCTGGCTTTATCTTGTCTTGAAATAAGGCAATTTCAGACTGGGAAGGGGAGTTAACAGTCGTTTCTTCAATTTTCTTCTTACTAGTTTGGAAAATACAACCTTATGGAATTTTCTAAAATTGCAGTTGTCAAGCAGAGGTGAACTTGCCAAGAGAGATGAAGACCAACAGAATAGCTGAGACTTTAAATCCCCTGTTCCTCAAGCTATCAAGGTTTGAGCTTTAGAAAATACATTTACACTTAAAAGGTGGGGTGGGGAATATGAGAGCGCTAGCTAGCATCCTGGGACAAATGAGGCCAAGTTACTAAGAGTCCCTTGACTCACAGTTTCTGCCTCTCAAGAACTATTCGATTTAAGACTAGGAGCACCTTCCTCACTGATGGTGGCACCGGCAGCTTTGCACATGTCTGTACACTCTTCTCGGACTTGGCCATCTGCAGACAGGTGGCATTCGATGCAGCTCCTGCGGATGGGACAGCAGAGTTCATTAGTGAATGACGGTGGCAAACAGACGTGCCGCTGACACGCTGCTTTGCTCTTCTCATAGATGAAATTGACCTCTTGGTACTTTAAGACAGAGATCTGGGTGACATCCAGCAGGACAGGATTGTCTGCTTTCCTCTGTCATCAGTAACTCTGAGCCAGCTTTGATAGCAGCCTCTATGATTGCTTTTCTGTAGTGATTGCTTCTGATTGGTTAAGAAGATAACTTTTTTTTCAGTATTTGATTTTACATAGGGCGTGTTTGTATTCATAAATATGATTACAGTCTAAAGTTATGAATTTCTTAACACAGATGATCTGTCTGTCAAAAAGAATCCTAAGGATGATGAGTGGCCTTAATATATGTCATATATGATTATTTCAAAATTTCACTTTTTGTGTTATTCTTTTGAATAAGTATAAGCTCTGTGAGAGGCATTTTTAAAAGTTTAGGATTACAGCTTGTATCTTCATTAATTCAGGCTTCTAAATAAAATATTGCTGCTTATATAAAAGTACATTTCCAAGGATATAAGGAAATTACATTACTTTAAGGATGTCTACAGAGCAAAGTAAAATTTAGGCCTTGAGTTAATCTTGTGCTACAAATCATTTTACAAATAGATTCTGCTGGGAGTAAGATGAAACCACAAAACTTTCTTATTGTGGGGATCCATCATGCCATGGGAATGGGTTGTCTTAAAAGAGCTTGAAGGAAGTGCCTATGCCATGGGATCTCAGCTGAGCTGTACTTCCTTAAGCAAACCTTCCCTGATCTGCAGGCCAATTAGCTCCCCTACAGTAGAAGTCTCAGGATTCTTGTTCAGGAAAGGCTTGGAGCAGCAACCCATGTGGGAGGAGAAGCCTTGTCTTGAAGCTACTTTTGTATTTCAGTTATATGACATTTGGACGGGCTTGGTGGGTACCCAGTGCATTTTCAACCTTTGTGCGTCTCATTGTGACAGTCCCGGCAAGACTGGTAGCCTCTTTCCTACCCTATAGTTGTACAGCATCCTCTACATCCCCATTGTGACTGGCAGCCCAGACAGCTATGTAATTACTTTTAAAAATATGGGGTTAGGGATTTGGCTCCATAGATAAAGTGCTTGCCATGCAAGTGTGAGGACCAGAGTCTGGATCCCCAGAACCCACAAAAAAAGCCAAGCAAGTGTGGCAGCTACCTGTAATCCCAGCACTTAAGAGGCAGACACAGGGAATTCCAGGAGAAACTGACTAGCTAGATTGCTGGAATTCGAGAGCTCCCGGTTCAGTTAGAGACCCTGCTTCAATAAATAAGTGGAAAGGGACTGAGGAAGGCATCTGACATCACACACAGACACACAGACACACAGACACACAGACATACACACACACACGCACACACACACACACTCAAAAATAAAAACCTATGTTTCCCATTAGACTCTTAGCACTTGTGAAAGTAGAAACTCTAACTGTCTCACTGCATGCCTATGGCCTAACCCCATTCTTGTCACCTAGCAGGTACTCAATACCTGTTAGATAAATGAACACATTCATGTTTTTAAAAGGAAGAATAGACTCATTTCAAAACTGGCTTCAACATTGTTATCTGATTCCCACATTTGAACTACATTGTTAATTTCATGTTTTATAAACCAGATTAAAGATTGACTCATGTTTACAGAGATGAAGTACAAAAGCAATAGAAGACACATCTTGAAGGGATTTTTGTTGGTGGTATTGGAGATTGAACCCAGGGACCTGTACATGCTAGGCAAGCACTCAAGCAACCCTATCACTGAGCTAACAGCTGCAGTCTGAAATTTTACATTTGATTTTATTTAAATAATTTGAATCAAGCTCCAGACTCTGCTATGTATCTTAGTTTGCCAGGGCTGGTGTCAGAGAAGTCTTGACACTGATTGGTTAACTAAGTACTAGGGGAAATTTTGATTCTCCCCCTCTGTTTACCTTAAAAATGCCAACATCTGGGGATGGAGAGATGGCTCAGCAGTTAAGAACACTGACTGTTCTTACAGAGGACCTGGGTTCAAATCCCAGCACCCACATGGCAGCTAACAACTGTCTGTAACTCCAGTTCCAGGGGATCTGATAGCCTCTTCTGTCCTCTGTGGGCATTGCACAACACAGGTGTACTTACTCACTTATTATGCAGGCATAATACTTATACACATAAAATAAAAATAACAAGTAACATATTTAAAAATACCAATGTCGGGGACTCCCTAAGCCACATTCACCCTTCCATCCCCCCCTCTCGCCGTTCTACTCCTAGTTTGGGCCCTGCGCCATTCCTAGTCTCAGGGCCCCAGACACCTGGGGAACCAATACTGCTTCCTGACCCTTCCCACCCAGAGAAACTCAGTCCCTTTCTTGGGCTCCAGGAGCACCACTTCTGGTCCTGGCCCCGCCCTCACCTCTCTCTGCTTCCCTGGGCCTGCACCACCGGCTAACTCTC